TCGTCATGTTTCAAATGTTTCAATTTGGAGCTTCATCTTTGGTAGCTAGCAGATAGATCGTTGTGTATCTCAAATGATCGTCGATGAATGTTATGAAGTATTTCTTTCCTCCTATTGATGCCGTACTGATTGGTCCACAAATATGAATGTATCAGTCTCGAACTGATTTTGCTCTATAGTTGTTTTAGCTTGGATACGGCAATTTAGTCATTTGCTTCTGATAAACAGCATTTTCATCTTTTTCCTTTTTGGCTTCTCCGTCGATCCTTATTCCGTTGCCAGGTCATCATCATTAGCCTCTGATTGCTTTCATAATTTCTGTGTCCTAGCCTTCTATGCCAAAGATCTATGCATTTCCTCTCCTTTCTGCAGTTGCAATTTTGGCTGTTTTTCTTTGCGCTTCACTAGGTATAATAAATTTCCTTTTTTGCTTTAGCAATTCCTATGGTTTTCTTTTTCTTCTTTTATTCTGCAAATATCTTCTTCATAATTCAACTGTAAATCCTTTCTTGTAATTTTCGTACGGATATCAATCCTCCTTCTAGGTCAGGAACGTACGAACATCCACGAGTCTCACTTCTATTCGTTATCTTCGTCGTCTTTAAGTATAAGTATCCTTCCCCTATACTTCGGACTTCATCTGCGTTGCCTTAGCAAGTTATGCTCAGTTTTGCTTCTATCCAATTGGTGAAAAGTTTATGTTATCGGTCATATGACAGAGCACTGAGTCAACTGACCAGTTTTGAGTTTTGAAATTTCTTTCTCTGGTGATTCGAACGTGTAATTCTCCGTCTTCTCAAGATTCTTATTTTCGTTTTCATTTTCATGTGTATCTCGTTTTACGCGACTTTTGTTTTCTGTTTTTCCATAGTTTCCTTTTCGTTTGCTTTTCATTCTTGAAAAATGAGTACTTTGTTTTTATCTTTTTCTTTGTGGCTATTTAAGAATCTGCACTCTTTTTTCTAAGTGTCCTATTTTTTTGCAGTAATTGCATCTTCTTATTGATGTGGAATTTGTTGTGTTAAAATTCGTTAACGGCGGGTTGTTTCTTCTGCTCGCGTGCCTTTTTCTCAGGCGTTCGCGATGAGTTTCGTTTTACGTATTCCAGCGTTAGTCTTCTTCTGGGCGTGATTCTAAAGCTGTAATAAGATTCGTAGCTTTGATAAGCGCTTAGTAAGAGCACTGCAATGTACTGTCTATTTTCTTTCCACCGATTCTGCAGTTTGTCAACGATTTCAAGCATCTGTTACAGTTTCTTCGAGTATTCGTTTTCTTTAATATACAGAAAGCTGTAGACGTAAGGTAAAGTTTTAATGGAAAGATTCTTTTTTTGTGTATTTTCTTTAATTCACTCCATATTTCTTTGGCTGTCATTTTATTTCTATGTGTCGATTTGGTTTGTCTCTACAAGTAAACTAACGGTACTTGTTCATCTGTTTTCTCCTCCTTCGACCGTTATTTCTTTTGGTGTTCAGTCTTTTATCCCATAAATTTTCCTTTTTCAGGATTCATTCAAGTTTGTATTTCCATACTTGATAGTTTTTATTGTTTAGTTTCATGTCATGATCGAATATTTTTTTTCGCAGCTAGTAGACATCTCTGATTCTGTATTTTGAATGTGCAGTACACAACTATGCAGTTTTGTCACAACTATGCAGTTTTGTTTCGCTTTTGAAGACAGGCTTGGCTTTTCCTTTTTCGGATTATCCAGTGGTAATTTATGGCAAAGTATCTTTTCTGTTTTTTATTCTTGATAGCTTATCTCGACATATTTTATGCGTTTAGTTGAAGTAAACATACTCTTGGCCTCATAATCTATTGTTGAATGTATTCGTGGTTCATTTTTTGTTTACTGTCACAACTTCGCTAAATCGAGACGAGCAGATGAATAAAACAGAATTAAAGTTCTTACCTTAATAAAGTGTAATCCAAGCTGCCGATGTAAGGAACACGATCATTATATTAGCAAACACAAAATAACATATTTATTAGGTATTAGAAGAAAAAAAAATATCTAGCGATGATTACAAGCGTTGCTTACTGTCCATTGCATAACACAAAAAGTGAGTCATACAAGGAGAGAATGTTTCTCCTTCTTTTTGGATCAAGTCCAATCACAGTTAGCGGGGGTGAGGGGGCGGTGTGTACAGCTTCATTGCTGTCATTATGAATTGCTCTACACTTTCAATAGTACAGTCATAGATGAAATTTTTCTTTACCGATGTGACAAGTTTTGTAACCAAATTTTTAACTTCCAGGTACCTCTTTTTAAGCAGCAACTTATCTTTGATTATGTACTTTTGAATTGGCCTATATGACAATAGCCTAACAATAAATAACATTTACTGTTCAATATAATTATAATATATTGTAATAAAATTGGAAATACATTCTGTACTAAACACTACACACATAGAAAAACTGCTCAATTACAACGAAACTTCACATGAGCAGTAAGGAGGAAAGTAAAAAATTGGAGAATAATCAATCCAGTTTTATTGTTCAACAAGCATTACTCCAAAATTTTTACATAGATTTCTGGCAGTGATGCATGAATATGTTAGGTCTCACTTATACTCATACAAATGCCATATATAATAAATGCACCTTGAAAATGATACAAGTGTTTCACTACGTATGCTTTCCATGTGCTTTCTGCTCTGAGCAGCCGTGCCTTTTCTATGATTTGCATTTCTGGCTAAATGATATTCACATGTTAAATTTCAAAATAGTTAGGAAACTTTTCCACGTCTGTAGAATTTTTTTTAACCCCGAAAAAACAAGTTCAATACAATATAAAAAACAAACTCAATAAAAAATAAATATAACTATGTGTGATACATCATATTTCATTTTCAAAGCAATGTTGAACTTGTGAAAGATAACATACTTTATCCCTTCACAACTTTCTAAATTCTTAACAGAAATACATTCCATAAGCCTTTGAAGGGCACCGGTATATGTTTGTCAATTTTTTAATCTCGGAAAAAATTATAATTTCTCTACACCAAAAGCTATAATCGTAAGTTTCTAATGTTTCCTTTCGATTCTAAATGGCAGCACCACCCTATGAATGCTCAATATTTTGCAGTTATGAAATTAATATACCTCGTTCCAAGGTATCATGTTTGAAGATTGATAAATTCTATTGGAGGGAAAGAAAAAATTCAAAATCTGTAAAAATATGACGTACACATGCTGAACCTTTTATATTTACTGCATTTCAATCAACCTGATAATTAAAAGAAGATTATGTATACGTTTTTAATACCGGTATATAATATACACTGGTATATAATATGTACCGCCCCTACTGAGGGTACCTTGCCGATAGATGGCAGCACCAGGCTTCTCCTTCTCTACTGTGAGAGATGACAGCATTTCTTTACATTATAATAGTTTATGATGCAACAATTTGTTTATGATTAATTTACAAGTTGTTTAGGATTCAGTATTATGTTCATGAAGGGATGGGAAGTTTACTGACCCTGCACTAGGACTGAATACAAATTTGTTTGATTTTATTCTTTTTTTACTCTGGGCAAGTTTCATTCGTTTCTATTTAGCTAAAATTTTAACTTGTGCACTTCACCCTTTCCCAAGAAAAAGACTCATCGATTTTGATCCATCTGGGGGTCAAAATTTTACACAATTGTAGGCGTTAAATGTGGCATGTTAGTCCCCAAAAGACACCCTTTGCTTACTGTTTTCCAAAATCCTAGAATCCAACGAAAATGAAAGGATGTGATTGACAACTGATTTGCCATTCCGGAGTCAATCCCTTTGATAAGATCACACAAAGAGAAAGCTCACTTAAAAATACGGGAAATGGAAGTGCACTGAAGGTCCATCTCTTAGTGCAATCACAAAAACTGCTGATTTGAAAGCATGCTTTTATTCTTATCGTCTTTGTTAATTTCAGATGAAAGATTAGGGAATGCAAGAGAAATTTAGGGTTAGGTTGTTTTTGAAATAAATTTCACAGTTTGTGTAATGAGGGAAAATATTTCTAAGGCCCGTTTTAGATGCAAACTACAATTTATCCAAAAGTTGAAAAGGAGCCCCCCTAAGAGGCCAAAAGAGTTGAAAATCGAAATAAGAGCTTCCAGGTGTATAAAATAATAAAGTTGTTTAACAGTGTTCCTTCCTGAACAAAAAGACATATTGCAACCTATATTTACAAAAAATAAAAAAGGGGCCCTTACGATCCTCGATAATTTAAAGTGTGTGTGCGTGGGCGATTCTTCGTATCATAGCATGAAACATGGTTTTTTAGATATTATCTAAAGCATAAAATATGACTTCAAAAATGCAACATACTTTTTCATCCGAGTCCTAGTGTTTCATTTTTTAATTTTTAAAATTTTTTGGCTGTTATGTCTCCTTGTAATATTATACTAGTTCAGTTACAGCATGATATGATTTACGCATGCAGTGTCATATTTACTAATTTTTTATAAAATAATAATATTGAATTTAAATCAAGTTCAAAAGCTTTTTTACCCATATTTTACATAAGTATGTTAAAGCGGGGTTGCATCATCAAAGTTGCATAAAAACATAAAATTTTATTTTTTTAAAATTTAAATTTCTACCAAAATTTTAAAAGTTTTTGTCTTCAGACTTGCATAACTATATTCAAGCACTCATCTCTACAGATGCACATCAAAAGTATGCAAAATTAATTTGAAAATCAAAAATTAACAACTGGCTTCTATCTGGGATAAAAATGTCTTAGAGGGGCGCCGGTATAAATTATATACCAGCTCTTAAAATTTAGGATTTCACTCTAGATTTTTTTTTTTTTAAGTCTCAATTTCGTGTCTTTAGTGTCCATAAGTTATAGTTCATACAAAATTTTACCACAATTTAAATTATTTTATATACCGCCCCTCAAAGGGATAAGTAAGGATAGACACATGAAAATTAAAAAAAATAATAATAAAAAGTGAATATGAACACACATATGGAGGAAAATCAATCAGAAATAATTGAATTACCTTTCCTTCATCAGAGTTTGCTGTTTGCCTAAGTATTCCATTAACTATAGTAGGAGTATCATTAAGAGGAGAAGAACTGGATGAAACTGAAGAATTGACGGAACTGTTATTCAGAGGAGGAGGAGGAGGAGACACTTCACATGCTTTAACATTATCAGTTACAGGATTTATTCCATTTGGAGTAACTGGATTCATTCCACTAGAAGCAGAGACTACGACTTTGTTCTCCAAACGAGGACGACCTGTAAAAACATCAATTTTTCTTACTATATTAAAAATCTGATGTGGACACCATGGCTTTTTTGTGTGGAATATTAAATTATACACATTTTTACTGCATTTAATTTATTTCCTTAAATTTCGTCAGAGATAAGATTTCTCATTCAATTAATTCCGTTCTCAGTTCGCAGTAAGGCAAAAATGCATAAAACCTCAAAATACCTTCATTAATAATTGAAAAATATAGAAAAAATACAGTTAAAAGAATTTTAAAAAATTACAATTAAAATTAGATTTTCTATGCAAAAACAAGCAATTCGCCCAGCAGGCAACAAGGCAGACTTTTTGGAACACAAACCGGAATTTTACTTTTGATCCCTACCTTTACTTTTACTCGGCTGCTATGCTAAACAAAAATTAGGCTTAGCTGAACTCAAACAATTTTTAAATTGCTGACAATTCTACAACTATTGCATGCAAATTAATTAAAGGCATAAAAACCTTAACCAGAAGAAAAGAATAACTTAATTCAATCATTTTTAAAGCAAAAAATGCACAATTTACCAACATATAAGAAAAAAAAAAAAAAAAAAAAAAACTGAACTCACTGAGTTGTGAGTATACATACTGAGAGTGATACATATATATTTATATACTTTTGGTGCAGCCGATTGCAAACAAAAAGAGAGGTGCCCAATTACATGTTGTAGCAATCCTGTATATAAAATTTTAATGTTCTGAGGCTACTTGTTTTTTTAGTTATGCGAGATACATTCATACATACATATGTACACTGCGCAAAAAAAAGGGGGGCAGTTCTATATCTCCCGTTCTACTGGGCCGATTGACAAAATTCAAATTGCATTTTTCATGTCTCGAAATCGCTACTTAGGGTATATATTAGATTTATACATAGCACTATTCTAACATAGGTATCTTGACACAATATCGGACTTTTTCTGAAATAACATACAAATTGTTTTAAATATTTTGATTCTACGATTCAAACTATGCCAGAAAGCCAAGTTTTGTAAAAATCATACAAGTAGTTTTTGAGTTTTTTATTCAAAATTTTCTAACATATACACGAATTTACATATTTTCACGTTTTGAAATTCGGCATCTTTTTCTTGAGTGATAATAACTCCAAATCTGATTCATGGATTTTTGTTACATTGCCACAGCTATTTTTAACTTTAAATTTCAAATAAATTTTTAGAGAGAATACGTTATATGAAAATTTCTCCTTTAATGATGCGTAATAAATATTTATTAATACTATATGAAAAGGTATTGTTTTTAAATTATAGATGATATTATTCAAATTTTAAATTTTTTACTTTTTTAAAATTTCTCTTTTTTTCCTTTTTTTAAAAAAAATATTTGTAAGAGTAAATTTTTACTTTTGTCGTGTTATCGTCTTTTACTTTAACTGCATATAAACTGAATTGTCTAAAACTGAGAAAGTTCATTTGAGTTTATTTTCACAATGTTTTTAAGCAAACAGGTCATTGATAGTTTGGTTCATGTCCCAGCTTTATTTTTACATTAATCCTCTTTGAAAGAATGTTTTAAGTAGCTAAATTTCTCTTGTGTTATAGATTGTATAAAAAACATAATCTTTAATATGATTCAGATTGTTTGTAGACAATGTAATAATCGGGTCACTCAGTGGTACAGAATAAACATTGCTGGGCTGTTTTATTTCTTTGTCATTTAACAAAAAATCTTTTAAATTAAAATATTTATCCTTTGGACTTTGCTTTAAACTTTATTTATACTTAAAATGCATAGAAAATGAAAAGCTGTCTTTAACTGAAATGCAGTTGAAGTAATTGATATATACATATCAAAAGAGAGATAAGAATGCAAAATTTATGGAAGTGTAAGAATCGAAAAATCTTAATTTTCTTGTGATGAGCACTGATAATAAATGTAAAAGGAACGAAGAAAATTAGGGAGAAACGTAAGCAAAAATTTAAAGGGAATTTGGCTATCAGAAATACCAAGGTGTTTCGAAAAGTTGGATGCTTTTGAATATACTTTCAGAATACTTCCATATATATTTGGGTGTTCAAAGAGAAAACACTTGGACATGTACACCAGCAAATACCATCAATTGAGCTTGTGCTAACAGAAATATAAAAATGATATCATTGCAGATTAATATATATAGTTATAGAACATCATATCATCATAAACAGAGAATCCCATGATTTCTTAGTCAAATTATTTGAATATTCAGGAATTTATCCAGTGACGTATGTGGATGTCACCTAAAGATGTTTTCCCTCTTGATGAAACCAGTCTTTCCTTTCATCTCATGCCTTAAAATGCTTAGCCTCTAAAGACTAATAAAGGCTCAGACCAACTATTGATGAAATGGATTGAATTGAATTATTAAGTTACGTCAAAGCAGGGCTATCTGCCTAAAAGGAAGGATGCCTTTGTGAAGAACTTTCTAAGGGAAATCTTTCTAAGGGGTTACTACGGTGTGGCAAAGCAGGGCTATCTTGCCCTAAAAGAAGGTATACCTTTGTGAAACCAGCTGGCATACATGTTAGAATGAGAAAAATCACAAAAACGCCCATGCAACCAGCCCATTTGTCGGGATTCGAACCCCGGAGCGAACTACCAGTGTTCAGCGACTTTAACATTCGGTCGTTTGTGGCCCTTTATGAAATGGAAGGCGATAACTTTATTTAAAATGAATGTCAGAAATACCAAGATGTTCGAAAAGTGTTCGAAAAGAAATGCTTTTTAATATACTTGCAGAGTACCTGAAGAAAAAGAGAGAAAGAAAGAAGGGAGGAGAGAAGGAAGAGAAGAGATTACAACTTTGTTCTGTTACACCACTTAACTTACAACCATTAAGAGGTGGAAAAAAAAATTTGCATAAAATTTAGTATTTTTTTAAATTTAAAACTTTTTAATCTTATGATATTTGATTCTTGCGATTTGAAAAATAAAATATTTGACTAAAATATGAATAACATTTTAGGAAACTAAATGTAGGATGATAAAATTGTGTAAAGCAACAAGCACAATGTTAAAGCTATTTAAAGCAATATATGCAAGTCATCCTAAGTTAAAATATCGTTTATACATCTTTCTCATTTATATATCTTTTCTGAATGGAACATTGAAAGGCATGTTAACTGTGATTTACTGTAATTTCTGTTTTAATATATTCAGCTTTCAGATGCACTGTAGTCTGGGACACAAAGTATTCTTCCGAAAGAAACACAATTCAAATAAATAAAATCAAATCCTGGAAAATTTATGTTAATAAATGTATTTAAAATGGTCAGTTTAAATGAATAAATAGAAAATTTGAAGAGACAATGCAACACAAACAATTAAAATAAATGTCTAAAAATTTAAAAATTACCTAAAATAGTAACTTTGACAAAATATATATATATATAAAGAAAACTATTTGAAGAAAAAAATAAAAGATGCACCTTACATTTAAACTACGCAGTTTGAATCGGTAAATAGACATTTTTAAAACAGTTATTGAAACAATGCAACTTAAACAATAAAAATGAAATTCGAAAAAGAAAAAAGAATATTTAAAATAATAACATAAAAATACAATATAAAGAACATTATTTGAAAGAAAGAACGTTGTGATTTTTTTTCTCTCTCACGGGAAAGGAAAATAGGTTGCCATATATTAAGAAGTTCGCCAAGTGAACTATTCTTGGCACAACTGGAGGAAAAAAAAAAAAAAAAAAAAAGAAAGAAAAAGGAAGCAACATAAATTTGTGAATTTCTCCATAAATTTTACACCAAATTTTACAAAATTTCATATTTGAGCATAATTTGAGTCGTAGAATCGAAATGTGGAAAACATTGGTATGTTATTTTAGAAAAAGTCCGATTGAGTCAAAATACCTGTGTTAGAATAGTGCTATATATAAATCTAATATATATCCTAAGTTGTTCTTTCGAGATATGAAGAACGCAATTTGAATTTCATCAAATGGCTCAGTAGAACGGGAAATATAGAATTGTCCCCTTTTTTTTTGCGCAGTGTACATACATACAAACGACATGAAAAAAAAAATTTCTTCTGAATACATTTTAAATTAATTTTATAATCCATTTGGGGAAAAAAAAAAATTATAAATCGTTCATTCTGTTCTTACTTACAGATGTCAAACAAAAGCATTGTTAAATTGCACACGATAGCAGTCAAAATGGATATTTTTGTTGAAATACAATACTCAGAATTTTCTGTTATTACAATACTTCCATTACTTTCTACAAGGAAGTAAAACTACACCCTCTAATACTTTTTAAAAGCATGAATTTTTTATCTGAAAGCTCCAAAACAGAAGGCTAAAGAAGGATGCTTTTTAACCCTTCGAGGTTCGGTGCATAAAAAAAATTTTTTTGGAAAAATTAACTTTACACATAGGTAATTAGCGCCTAATACAACATTAATTCATGAAATATAATATATATATATATAAACATAAATAAAAAATTTTAAGAAAGGTGGTAAACCTTTAAGGTAATTCATGACATGGTGGGATACTGCTTATCCCACCATGTATCTAGAGCAGTGGTGCCCAACCTTTGGCCTATCGCGAGCACATTTCCAAAACATCAACATTTTTGTTAAACATATTTCCAATCTTCTACATCTGAAATATTAATATTGGCAAATGGGCTTGATAAATAATAATACTGGTTGAACTTTATGGAAATCAGAGAAGCGGAGTTCAAAATTATTTTTCAATGCATAGATTTTCCAAGTATTTCTCTGTTTCAATTGTTTTGTGTTTATTAATATGGCTTGATAAATTCTGAAAATGGGTGAAATTTTTTTCTTTCATCTGATTTATCCACAAATTTAACTTTATCTGAAAAGCAGTTACAGTCCCAGTCAATTGAAAAAGGGTTTTTTCTTTTCCCTGGAGATCTTCGTTCAGTTTAGCTGTTATATCCGTGAGAAAACACAGATCGGATAACCAATTATTATCATCCAATTCTATATAACTTTCATTTCCGG